ATGAGGGTGGGGAGGCGCGAGGATGGCAGGCGTGGCCAGATGCAGAGCACCCCCTGCCCACAGTGGACTAAGCCAAAGCCTCCAGAGAGACACTTGGCTGCGAATAAGATTTCCAGAGACTGTTCCAACCCTTGCTTGAAAAGAGCTTGTGTCTCAAGCAAGCAGAGACTGAAGCAGAGTTGACATGTCCTGGAAAGTTCTGCTACAAAAGTCAACAAGTGGCTTCAAGGCTGACAAAGACACTGAAGAAAAACATTCGTCTATAAAATGGAAATAATAGTACCATAGAGTTATTGTGCGGTTTAAGTGAGTTTACAGAAGTAAAGCACTTAGAATGGTACCTGGCTATCCGGAAAGTATCCGGCCATTCTTAATATAACAAGAACGGTCACACACCAGGATACTTTCCAGACAGCCCTAGTACACTAAGGGTGGCGAGGATATTAACTATCATCATCATCATTATTAGGCAGGTTATTAAACTCTGGAGTTAAGCTTCCTGGCATCCTGGCTCTAGCACTAGTGGTGTTGCCTGGGGAAACCTATGTAAACTCTCTAAGCCTCAGTGTCTTCATCTGTAAAATGTGCACGGCAGGGGTATCCACCTCAGAGTTAATTCTAAAAATTGAATTAAATGAGACAATGTATGCACAGCACCTAGCAAAGTAGGCACTCCATAAATGATAAATATTGATGATAATAATTTGTTTTTTTTAATGGAAAATAATACTTTTAAGTTTTGAAAAGGAGAAAATTCTCTACCACTAAAGATCCCTTTTTCATTTTCAGGTACCTTTATATCGTGACAGCCATGGCATGTTTTCACTTTGCATTGTCTCAGTAAACGTTTGGTATTTCCAGATCATCTCAGTGATTATATTTTCAGCATCTGCAAAGCACATTGCCAGAATAATTCAAAATAAATCACCAAAGTGTCTGTGAGACATTATGATGGTTTGTAGTTTGGCTCTAACAGAAAAAAACTTGGATAAACATGTTTGTTATTTTGGATTTTGGCTTCTTAGATTATTTCCCAAGTCCTTTCGCAAGACAAGTGTCAACAAACTCGCTGTTCCCTCACACGTGGTCCCCGTGGCAGCAACCCAGCCCCCACGGTCACACAGCTGGCCAGCACCTACCTCCCTCAACATCTTTGGCTTCAAAATCAAAATCAAAATGAAATGCTAATTGAATAGTAATTGATGGTTTTTAATGTATTTTCAAAAATTATTCTAGCAACTTAAAATCTATTCCATTCTAAATAAAATACTTACTCTATTTATTCTAACTTTCTATTTATTTTTCTTTTTGGAGACACAGTCCATGCTTTGTTGCATGGACCCGAGTGCAGTGGCGTGATCATAGCTCACAGCAATCTCAAATCCTGGGCTGACCTTCTGTCTCCGCCTCCCAGTAGCTGGGACTACAGGTGCACACTATCACAGTCAGCTAGTTTTTCTTTTCTTTTTTTTTTGTTTTTTCTTTTGAAGAAACAAGATCTCACTATGTCGCTCAAGCTGATCTTGAACTCCTGACCTCCAGGGATTCTCTCACCTTGGCCTACCAAAGTGCTAGGTTTACAGGCATGAGCCACCACAGTTGGCCCTATAGAATATTTATCTATTCTATTCTAAAGTTCTATTGACTGCTGCTGAATTCCCTCTCCCAATCTTCGTTTTGCACTTCATTCTTCAACATGCTTTAAAGTTTTCAGACTATTTATGCACATATGTGGTTTTATAATTTTTCTTTCTAGAAATCTTTAGAATAATATTAATCTCACCATTTTGCCAAGTCAGTTAACCCAAAAAATGAAGAATTTAGAATGAGGATAATTCTGGCAGTTACAATAACCTTTCTTAGGCCATGTAAATTATGAAGGCTCTCGAGAAAAAGGAGATAGTTTGATCCCTTGCAGAGATGCTGGTCTTTCCCTCAGAGGCTCTGTATAGTTATATTAGAGATGCCAGCCCCGTCCTTCCTATTAATCAGTGGTAATTTGTTATATCAGCAATGGAAAATTAATACACTCCTGTTGCAAACATGACACGTCAGGCCTGTGGGTAGGCAGGACTTCCTCTCAGACCACAGCCTGGAAATATTCTCCAATTTTAACAACCCAAAATATTAGACAGGGTCCATCTAAATAATACAAGATGATCTCCCCATCTCAAAATCTTTAGCTTAATCACATGTACAGTATCTCTTTCGTCATATAAAGCAACATATTCATAGGTTCCAGGGATTAGGAGTGGACGTCTTTGGGGGTCATTATTCTGTCTACCACATGGGCAATCCCTGAACTAACCTGAGCCAAGCACTTGATCTGAATTTAGAAGCTCATACTTAAATGGAAATGTAATATAGAATTTGGCTGCCTTAGAGCGAGAGAGGAGAGGAAAGCAGAGGGAAGTGATGCCCTGTGGCCCTTACAGACTGACAGGTTTACCTTTGAATATTCCAGATGTTCCAGGCCGGCCATGGCCCTCTGACCCTAGATTGCTGATACACTTGGCTAGCTATATTTCTGGAAAGTGGGGCAAAGAGTAAGAGCACAGTGCTTATTAGATTGTATTAGGAAAGATTTTCTGACTCCATGGACTTTGTCCCAGTGCATTTTTGTGGTTCATGGAGCCATGTGTTCATGAAGTGATGGGAGCTTATAAGTGAATACCAGTGTTCCAAATGTATCTGGGCCCTAAAAACAAGGTGACAGTGACTACAATTCCCTCCAATGCTAGGTCCGCAGGTGTGGGAGAGAAGCAAAACGTATGCTATTGATTCCGTCTATACCTCTCAATTCCAACTCATCTTTCTTGACTAATCTTAATAAAATATCTTTCCTCTGAGGCTTCTCTGACTCTCAAAGTAGAAGTCACTCCTTCAATGTGGTCAATAAATACACAAGCACTCACTCTGAGCCAGGCATTAAGTGCTGAGAATACACAAGGGAAAGACAGGGTGGTGTCTTCCTCCTCTGAATCCACTCTCAACTCTCTCCTGCACCAGCCACTTCCCACCTCACATGAGGGTTCTCCACCTTGTCCACTTGACCACCAACCCCACTGCTAATCTGTAATCCCTTAAAGTGGAGTCACTGAATCTCGTGGATTATGAGATTCCTCACAGGTAGCACGATACCTGTCCTAACAAATGAGCATAGGGATTCAGTAATCATTTCTTAAACACCTACTGTCTACATGGTACTATAAATAAAATTTAAGAAGGCCCCTGACTAGAAATTTCTGATAGAATCTGAAAGTCTGGTCCCTACACTAAATGCATAGAACAATGACAGAGAAAAGGTCCCAAATATCACAGGGGGGACGCTGGTGCTAAAGGGATGCAAAGAAGGGAAGGATAATTCTGATATGCAGCCAATATATTTCCACGAGGGGGCCTGTCCTGGGTCTCAAAGTTTGGGCAGGATCTGAATGGGTCACAGGGAAAAAAAGAGGAGACAGAGCATGATGAGCAAGGGCTGGAGAGGGGAACAGACGTCTGTTTGGGGGCAACGGCGACAAGAGCTCTCAAAGAACGTGGCCCTGCACTGCGACAGGGAGCGGCAGAGTGAAGGAGAAGGTAAAAGCCAGATCGTGGACCCCTGTGAAGGCAGGCATCAGATCTGGGACTTTCTGCTTTCCTTCTTACCTTTCCAGACTGAAGCCGTGGGATCTCCCCTTGCTGCTCTGCTGGGTGGAGGCTTCTCAGCCCTGGTGTCAGGCTCAGTGACTCATAATTAAAGCTTCCTGACACAGCCATGAGCTAGTCAGGAAACTGTTCCTTGGCAAATCTGGAGAAATATGTCCCTTAAGGTAACTCGTCCATGTTGACAGACTACAGCTAAGTAATAGCTCACTGCACAATCTTATGACGCCTCCAAGTGTGGATAAAAGAAAAATCAAACTCCTATTCTCTGAGAGCCATACACATACTAGTTACATTGAACAAAGGACAATGGAAATGATCCAATGAGGATTTTCTTGATGTTATGAGATTATTTAAAATCTACCTCAATTGCCTGCTCCTCCACCATGCCTCCTCTATGTCCTTCATTCGGAAGGACTGTGTCCTTCCTTCTCGGCTCCCAAAGCACTAACTTATCCCTGTGACAGGTACTGCCCAGATACACTGATATGCAGGCGTGGTTGCCTGTGTGCCTTTTCCCCATAGACTACGAGCTCCATTGTATGAACAATAACTGCAGCTAGTATTTATTGAGGGTTCTCCTACCTGCCAAGTTCATGATAGTTGCTTTACATGGCTTATTTCACTTATTCACCAAACAGCCCTGGAAACCGGTACTTATCCTCATCTTACAAATAATAAAGCCAAGGAAAAGAACAGTTAAATATTAAGTCCAAGTTCACACAGCTAGTAAGAAATGGTGCCTGCCTGATCCCAAAGGCCATGCCATAACCACTGGTCCACACTGCCTCTGGGCATGGGTGGAAGTCATCTCTTATTCAACCCTGCCACCCACTGGACCCAGATTATTATCTCCCTATAGGCAGATGCTCAGTCAACGTCAACTAGTATTGCACGGAGCAGAAATGCCAAGGGTGGTGACACCTTTGCTGTGACTAATTGGGTGTTTGATTCCCTGCTGTGAAGAGGAGAGTCCTGGACCAGACACATTCCTCTGGTTCCTCGCTCCCTCTGTGCTGCTTCCTCAGTCCTCCTCCCTCCTAACTGCACCATGTGGGTTCAAGGTTGGAGCTTAGTGCACAGAAAGGGAAAACAGAACTCTCACTGAGAGAGGGAATCATGGAATTCGAGAGAGCGAGGGAGTTTAACACTTGTTCATATGTGTAGGGAAATATTTAACCTAATAAAACAAAATGTTATCTGAAATTAGCACATCACAAAGTCAAGGTTTTGAGTAGTAGTTCAGTGCCCTTTTTTCTCATTTGACTGATCTAAGCATAATTTGATGGGTGTGGCTTAAAGACACATGTGATCACATGTGGAACTGGGCATTACTCAAGGACACACGATATCTGTGCACTATATATATATGCACTGAGGCAGGGAAGAAGTCCACAAGAACTCATCAGTCTCCTGGTCTGCACAGAAGACAGCAACAACATGAGCACAGCAGGAAAAGTAAGCAAAAAGCCATTACTGGTGGAAATATATTCTCATTAATATAATAAATAAGGGGATACAGTATTTGATGACTTATTTAAAATTCATATCTAAATTAGAAATAATACACTGAATATAATAAACAATATATGCTACAATTTATACTGTCTACTGAATTACAATGGACATAAGCTATCCTAAATAATTTTAGCAAGAATGTATATAACCGGTATCTAAGTCTTTATTTTCTCCATTAAATAAATTTGTAGTAAAGTGATAGTTTATTCCAAGCTAATCATAAATAATTTGTAATTCTAAAGTCAAAAAAAACCTTAGTCAAGAAGTTATTTTATTCAGAGAAATGTGAGTTGTAAAAATAAGAAGTTATGTTTATATTAAGAAATCCTAGGCCGGCGAGGTGGCTCACACCTGTAATCCTAGCACTCTGGGAGGCTGAAGCGGAAGGATTGTTTGAGCTCAGGAGTTCGAGACCAGCCTGAGCAACAGTGAGACCCTGTCTCTACTAAAAATAGAAAAATCAGCCACGTTTTGTGACACAGGCCTCTAGTCCCAGCTACTCAGGAAGCTGAGGCAGGAGGATCACTTGGGCCTAGGAGTTTGAGGTTGCAATGATCTATGATGATGCCACTGCACTCCACACAGGGTGACAGAATGAGACTCTGTCTCAAAAATAAAAGAAGAAAAGAAACCATAATTTAAAGGTGTTATTCTTTATAATCAGATTCTTTTTATGAAAACCAGAAAGTTACAGAAAGTTAAACAGTTACCAGAAAGTTATCTGACAAACGTTTTGTGAGAAGAATTTAATTCAGAAGACTGAAATAGCCTTCTAATCTTACTATAAAATATCTTAAAAATACGTATAGCATTAGAATCATCAAGGTTAGGCATACAAACTGCACAGCACTAGAATCGTCAAGCTTAAGCAGGACAGCATCACCATGCAAATTCTGGGGTCTCTTATGGCACATGTTAGGCAATTTCCACAGAAATCCTACAGAACAATATCTTCTACATATAAAAATCAGTATGATTTTACAGAAAATTAATACTAATACGATTTGAATCACTTATTAGAGCTAGGAACTCAGGTTCTAAGCCTTCCAGAAATTTATACTTATTTCTTCAAGGTGTTGATAGGTGAACGGCATGTGGACATTCAATGTAATCAAATCCTGTTTTTAATTGCTTATGTACAAGAGGCTGTGCAACATTTGCAGCATATTTGTTGTGTTAGGAGTGGAGCACACAGTAAAACGTCTTGCTAGGCTCTCAATTTAAAGGCTCTGACGTTTGTATACACACACTGTCTGACAAAACAGACGCATGGCAATAAGATTGGTTGGATGAGTGGACAATTGTCGGTGTTCTTATTCCACTTTATTTTCACTGGTTACTGATTAGTATTTGCCTTCTAAAGGAAAAATAATTAGGAGAAAAATTAAATTTACCAAAACTCAGCTTAAGCTAAATAATGTGTTCATTAAGGAAAAGTGAGCTATAAACCAATCATATTAATGAAAATAATAAATAATGAAACAAGCAATCGATCCTCCTCTCTCAAGCGCAGTGTTAATAATTCAGCATTTTGATAGCTTTCCATTTATGTTTGTCCTGCCTGCATTTTATTTTCCTGACTGCTACATGGTGATAGCACTAACATCTACTTCATAAGGTGGTTATGAGAATTTAATGAATTAATGCTGTAAAGCACTTAGAAAAGTACCTGGTACACAGAAATAAGTCGATGAATGTTAGTCACCACCATTACTGCTATTCTTATTAAACTTTTTGCTGACTTTTAACTACCATGAGGTACCAAAAAGGTAAGGCTGGATTGATCTTAATTCCCTAGACAGCCAGCTTAGGGACTTTGGGAAAATGATTCAATCCAAGTCAATTAATCCTCAATCTTTTCATCTGGAATATAAAGCCAATGTTCAATACTACTATCCTGGCAGCACCTTATCAGGTCTAAAGACAAAGCCTGGCTCTCCCCCCAGCAGGGCCACATGTGCCTGTCACATCACAGGCACCTGACAATCAGGACCTTCCTGCTACTAGGATGCTGTTTCCAAGAATTCTTATTTATTTATTTTGGCATTGACCATGTGGATCACCCTGCAAAGTGGAAGGATTTCACAAATAATGAAAATGAATTCTCAGAGCAATAAATTTCTATTGAATTGATCATATTTACAATGATGTCAATTCTCACTAGAAGGAGCTCTGTTAACTGCACACATTTTACACCAATGAAAATAGATTTTATGACACATTCCCACGCACTGAAAATATGTGTTCAACTTTCATTTTTAAGAGCATCTATGAATAACCTATGCTAGCTGAAATTAAAACACACAGTTCTCCAGTTTTAAAATATATGTGTGTGTGAGTGAGTGTATATAAACATACACACACACCCCACTAGCTCTAACCTCTGTAATTTTTGGCCCCAATGTAATCTGGAAGGAGCCTCTACACATAAATTATATAACCAAACAGGCTGCCAAAGCTAAGTTTCCAATGAATGATGCAAACAAGTAGTATACTGGTGTGTGAAGAGAAATTGGAGGAGAAAAGGCAAGTAGAGAAGAGTTGCCATCCCAGGGCAGGGGGCAAGGAAGTATGTAACTGTCATTACAAAGACAGATCCTTTGTCCTAAGCAGAAAATTGAGCAAGGAAGTAATGGATTGATGTGAACAGACACGGGCTCTGTCGGGAAAATAATAGTGATTTGGAACTTTATGTAAAAGCCAACAGTTGTTTGTAAACAACAGATTTTAGGACAGGGTTAGGAAATATCGGGATTAAGCAATTTGTGGAAAAAACAACAACATGGGGATGGCCTCAAATAATATATTCTCTTATATCTCAATGTCTTATTACAGTTAATTCTGTTTCTCTTTCCTATGGTATTGTTTTTATACTTTTTTAAAAAGACAGTTTTATTCTCTTTGTAAACCAGAAGTGCTCATGTCTATGAAGCACTTGCTAGCTACCACACATGGGCTAGATGTTCCATGTACAAAGACGAAGAAACCCAATCCATGACCTCAAGAGTGGGGACAAACTGGTGTCATCATTTTGTTTCATTTTCCAGGTGATAAAATGCAAAGCCGCTGTGCTATGGGAGCTAAACAAACCTTTTTCCATTGAGGAAGTGGAGGTTGCACCCCCTAAGGCCTACGAAGTCCGTGTTAAGGTAAAACATTTTTTCTACTTCTATTTAATTTTAGCTTTAAAAAAAAATACAGAAAATATTACAAATGGAAAAGAACAAAAATCCAATAAGAGATACTTTTTGCAATCCAGACAATGAAATTACATTTTTTGCCAAGGAGACATGTAATATGAATTGTTAAATTTTTTTAAAGTGACCAAAAATTATATACAGTATAATAAAATCCCAGTAAAATAAAAACCAATGTGTATGTCTGTATATTTAAAAAATGCAAAGGGATATATTATGATTTCAAATCAATTAGCATTAGACACTTTCTTGTGGTTAATCTGCAATTTCTACTTCTATATAAAATGCATTTTGTATTATATAAGACAAATATTTTAGGACCAATTATTTCACAGAATATTCTAAATTTTTTAAGTCAGGAAAGAAAAGTAGGGAACAGTTTCAAACTGCATAGCCTTGCTTGGGGATAAACTGCATCTTTTGTATTTGGAAAGAGTAGGGATTATTAGCAAAATCCTTAAAAAGGTTTTAAAAGCACAGTTTCAGAAAATTGGGTATGTTAACTCCATCTGAGGGTCATAAACTTTCTGAATCTGACCATCTTCCCTTTCCTGTGCAGATGGTGGCCGTAGGAATCTGCCGCACGGATGACCATGTGGTCAGCGGCACCATGGTGCTCCCTCTGCCTGTGATCGCAGGGCATGAGTCCGCTGGCATCGTGGAGAGCATTGGAGAAGGGGTGACCACAGTCAAACCAGGTACAGAAGTCACACTCAGGGGATGTCCCTTGGCTCATGACCCCAAGACCATCCAGCCTGGGGGAAACTGAGGCAAAGGGAGATGGAGGATCTTGCACAAGGTCACAGCCCAGCTGGGCCCTGAAGTGTTCCCTGCTCCCTCCCTCCCTGCCTGACCCGGGCTCGTGGCCATCCGGGCGCTCATGTATCCTCCCCTTCAGCGCATTTATTGAGCACCTATTGATACAAGGTGCCAGACACAGGTTAGAGCGCAGGGACACGAGAGATCACAGGAGACACAGCGCCTGCCACTGTCGAGTCCATCACCAGTAACCCCAGTCCAGTGCTACAGGCACTGTCTTCTGCCAGGGCCCAAACAGAACGAGCAGGGGGACGAGGGAATCACGCCAGCTCGGCCCGAGTCTCTAGGGCAGCGTGTGGAATCTGCTCTGTGCGGAGTGCACACGGGGCTGGGTGGCCACAGCAGAATCAGCACGGTCTTGGCTTAGGTGAGACACGTGACAACCGTCACCAGTTTCCTCTTCCCACCGAGCCTCTCTTCTTCCCCAGGGAATGAATGACACAGACGAAATGAAGGAACATAGCAGAAGGCACCTCGCCACCAACAGTCTGTTGTATTACCTTTAGCCATGACTAAATGTGACTGCTTACAAATTATAAATTATTTTATCTTTAATATTTATTTGCCTTAATTTTATTGTGTAGTGATATAAATATTTTCACAGGGAAAGGGTGACTAAATAGAAAATTTTCATATCACCATTCCCACATAACGTTTATCTATAAAATGTGGTGGGCCAGCCATTTTTCCTGGTCTTATGGGATAGGTAGAATACATGATTATAAATAAAAATTATGTTTAATCCTAAAAACCCCTTTAGCCAATATATTTGACCTTCCACCCTATCAAATACTTAAAGAAACTGTGAACAGCAAATAATAAAATGAACGGTGAAGTTTGAGCTTCTTCTCTTCGTATTTTCTATAGCCAGAAATAAATTAATAACAAAATGACACCCTTTCTTTACACCCCTTCTCCTTTCACCATAGCAGAAAAAAGAGATAATTCATAAATTATCAACCAAAAACATTTGAAAGTCAGCTCTTCTCCTGAAAGAATGTGCCTAACTCATTGTTAAGGGTTGAGGTTTTCAGGGGGATATCTTACATTCATTTTTGTTCTATTTTTGTTAGTTTTCCTCAAAACAAAATTAACATTTTTTAAAAAGCATTCCCTACATATTAAAGTTAAGCCCACTCATTTTGAAAAGTCAAGAATCAGTTATCCAAATTCTCATTTTTATTTTAACTCAAATTATTACAAAATATCACCTCTCCCCAACATCCGGCGGAACTATGGCAGCCCACTTTCAACTGAAAATGTTATTGATACAGTGATTCAATATGAATATTGAATATTTAATTAGTTAAGGATTAAGTGAGATGATGTGTGTAAGCCCCCAGGACAAATCAGGACACTCAATAAAAGTTAAATATACACAGAAATAACTTGTAAAATCCATGTTGTTTCCACATTTACATTTCCTCTTCGAGAATCTTCAGGCACATGGAACCCAAACCAACTCCAATGCTGGCAGGCAACGACCAGTGACACAGTAGTGACTGGACTCTAGTTCATGGGTTTACATGTCAAAGACACAAACTATATATATATATATATTGGGGGTACCGTTTCATCATCACATGATTCTCTGGCAAACTATGAAATGGTTAATTCATTTTTCATGATATATATATATATATGCTTTAAGTTCTTATATATATATATAAGCTTTAAGTTCTTCCTCTGGAAATTTCACAAGAATCTGTTTTATCCCCCTCCAGGTGATAAAGTCATCCCACTCTTTACTCCTCAGTGTGGAAAATGCAGAATCTGTAAACACCCTGAAAGCAACTTCTGCTTAAAGAACGAGTAGGTTTTTGCTCCTCTCTTTGCCCAGCCCTTGAGTTTGCACATAGTCATGCTCCCCTCTCACGCCCCGGTGTGTCTGTGTCGCACTGAGCAGCCTGGGCAAGCCTCGGGGGACCATGCAGGACGGCACCACCAGGTTCACCTGCAGGGGGAAGCCGGTCCACCACTTCCTCGGCATCAGCACCTTCTCCCAGTACACTGTGATGGATGAGAACTCCGTGGCCAAGATCGATGCAGCTTCACCACTGGAGAAAGTTTGCCTGATTGGCTGTGGATTCTCCACTGGTTATGGGTCTGCAGTCAAAATTGCCAAGGTAGGCGCGCCAGTGGGCAGTAAGACCACTTACACTCAGATTGGCAGGAGCCACAAAGGAAGCAATTTCTCACAAGAATCAGAGATTATTTTCATAGTTGTGCAGTGTTGATGAAGCAGACAAATGGCCCCAGAAGAAATTGAGAGCATGTCTTTAAAAATTTCAACTGTTAATCATAGATAAAACCCTGTTCATACTTGGTTAGGAAAAACTAAAGATTTCATTTGCAATCATTATTCTTCTTTATTTTTCCTTTTTGGGATTATTAAATTTTAGGGGTCAGAGTTCATCTAGTCATTTATTCTACAATTAGAGAGCACCTGGGCATGCATTAGGCACGGGAGGTTCTGAGGCAGCAAAGATAAAGGAAAGGAAGGGTTTGCCTTGCAAGAGCATCCAGTCCATGGATCCCCCGCTCCCACGTTTAGGATCAACAGTAGATTCCCTAGCTTTACCATTTCCACTCACTCTGTGGATTCTTCACAGGGAAGTAATAAAGCTTTGGTGACAGGCTTATTCCTCTCGTTGTTGGAGTCATCTGCGTCTCCTTCCCCGCCATGAACACACACACACTCCTCACAAGTGCTCAGTTTCAAGGAGAAATTCTTGAAAAGGAGCCTTTACTCCTCTTCTCAAGTGGCTGAAAATCCAGTAGCGTATCCAGTAGTACTCTTCATTTTTCGAAGCTGATGTCCAGAGACATACAGCTTGCTGCTGGTGAGCATGAGAGCTAACACTGGAGTAGCTTTCTACAACTCTCCTGCTTAATCTTAAATCACAATAAATAATTGCTAGCACTTTTAAATCACAATCACAAGCCTTGTATTTTTCTGAGTAAGGTTGAAACTGGTCTTCTATCCCATAGTACTTAATAACAGTTGGTGGATGAATGAGTGAATAGACACCTTTAAGGGAATGTACCAATGGATTCCTGGGGACAGGAAGACAATTTTATTCACGCTAAAGGCTGACTATAGAATACTAGGTTTACTAAGTAGCCCATTAATAATTTAAACAATTTTGCTGGAGTCCCCAGTGCCAGGACTGTGGACTGGTGCCTGTCTGTGGCCTGTTAGGAACCGGGCTACACAGCAGGACCTGGCTCCAGGCCAGCAAGCGAAGCTTCACCTCTATTTACAGCCGTTCCCCATCACTCACCACCCCCTCCGACCCCCAGGTGGGGAAAAATTATATTCCATGAGACTGGTCCTGCTGAAGAAACGTTGGGGACTGATGATTTAGACTACATCTTTTCTGTGACTTTTGGACTTAGTACCTTGAGCAGTTGCCTCATTTCTTCTATAGGTGGTCTAAGTGAGTCGACCCAGAGAACAGAAGCTGAGAATACTCATAATCATAGATTTTATTTATTATTAAAATATAGCCCATCTTTTGTTGCATTAGTGTTCATTAGTGTATATAGGGATATATTGGTCATGATTACTGAAAGGTAATGAATCAAGGAGTAAATGGAGGATTTTGCTGGATAATTTTTCAGTCTCCTCGAATAGGCTTTTCCACATATTTCATTTTCACAAACTGCCTTTGTGCATGTATGAGATACAAAAGCTGCTATCAGTGGCTCTCCGCCATTTAGATTCTCTTCAAGATTGCAGTCACGGACATTTAGAACTCAAAGATCATCCAGTCCCCTTGGACTCACCTGGGGACTAGGTTGTACCTGCAGAGATTCTGATTTAATTGGTACAGGCTGTGACTTGGGCATTGGGATGTTTTAAAGCTCACCAGATGAGTGTAATATGCAGCAAAGCTTGAGAACCACTGACCTACTTTGACCCCCTCAATTTAAACATGAAACAACTAAAGCTTTTGACAACAGATCGGACATGAGAGCCTGAGTGACTCTTGACAACAGACAAGGCATGGCACTTTATAAAGCCTAGGCACATTCCAGCAATCATTACTTAATCCATTTTTTCACTTTCTGAATACACAGGTCACCCCGGGCTCTAGCTGTGCTGTGTTTGGCCTGGGAGGTGTTGGCCTGTCTGTCATCATGGGCTGTAAAGCAGCCGGAGCGGCCAGGATCATTGCCGTGGACATCAACAAGAGTAAATTTGCAAAGGCCAGAGAGTTGGGTGCCACTGAATGCATCAACCCTCAAGACCACAAGAAACCCATCCAGGAGGTGATCACAGAAATGACAGATGGAGGTGTGGATTTTTCGTTTGAGGTCGTTGGTCGACTTGACACCACAGTACGTACAATGATATGTGGAAATTTCTGCTTCTGATCTTTTAGGCGGAAGAATATAAATATTATGTATAAAGAATATTTTGTAAATAATGAATGGTAATTTTCCATCTCCTGTTTCTCACCTGGCTTGTTTAATTTATTGTTGAGAAATCTTTCATTCCATCAGCTAAGCAGGCCTGCCTCAAGTAATATTTCTTCCTTAGAAAAGGAAAAGGGTTTGTCTTTTAATTGAACCACTACAGATTTACTTTATTAATTTTAGGAAAAATATTCAAACTCTAGTAAATATAAATAATACAAATTCTGTTCTCAAATTCATTTTTCCTCCATATTCTTAACAAAAATGGCTTAATAATTGTTTATGTGCTTTAATGTATTCCAATTTTTTTACATATTATATTTTGACCTGAAGCAAAGAGCAATTTTAGGTCAAGAATTATTTCATTAACTGAAAACGTGCCCTAACGAAAATGACTGCTTTAGTGCACCTTATATTTTACCACAGAGAGAACACAGTGCCTAGCACCTATCTTCTGCCCAATATCGATGTGTTGGACTGAACACTTTAAAAAAATCAACAATTTATCAGCCCCCAAATTGGAGGGATACATACCTATCTCATTGCATCGTTTATGGATTGCATGAGATAATGCGGATAAGGGGCTTAGCACAGTGCCACCTGTCCTACAGCAAGCTCTCAAGAAATGTCAGCCAGCGTTAGTATTATTGATATGAAATACTATTTCCAATCTTGCAGTGCTTGTGCCATCTTTGAAAAATACATCCTATTACTTTCAAATAAGTACAAATATCATCAGCTGCAATGGAAAACACATCTCCAGCTATATTTTACCCACACTGAATCCTCTAGAATCCTGCTGAATAAGTCCACAGAGACCAACAACTCCCCATTGCTGAGGTTCTCCAGGAAGTCTCAGCAGTGTGGTGAAGGGGAGCAGCACCCTGAAAGTAAAGCCCTTTGCAGTCTTGACCTGGGACAATATGCTGTACAAGCATGGAGATTCAAGAGAATCCAACTTTCTGTAGTTTTCTTCCTTATGCTCTTTTTCTATTGTTTTCCTCCATTTTCTCATGTGGAACTGAATTGTTGCCTTATTTGAAGATACCAAATGCCAGATAGCCACATGTTCTGAGGATATCTGGTTTTCTAGGTATCATAATCAAAAATCAAAGGACTAATCATTATTTGCCTGGGGGGGATCCTGTACCCTTATCTTACTACAGAACATGTACAAAAGGATGACTAGAAGGGTAAGACTTTGTGGACTGACTTTTGAGGATCCAGAATAATAAATGTAGTTTAAAATGAAACCAATATGCATTCGGGGGAAGTAAAAAAACAATGCTTAAAACATGTCCATTTTAGAAATGGACAGTAGAACAGGAATCTATCAAAAAGGCAAAGCATCAAGTGGGAAAGAGACAAATTTTGATGATGTAATCATACCTTGTTCACCATCAAACTATTTGGTTCAATGTACCAGGTTCAAATCATCTATTTAATAAATCAATGAAAAATGAATTAACCAATTCATAGGTTGCCTGAGAATCATGTGATAGTGAAACAGTACCATTCCTTAAGGAACCAGAAGGTATGTATGTTTGTAATGCTGTTTGCCTCCTTTTTACTTTCTGAGGAGGAATTAAGTATACACAAACACATTCATCCAAAAAATATTTTCTGGGCATTTCCTAAAACTACAGCTCTAACATAGGCACAAAGAAGAAAAAGACATAATCTCTTCCCTCTGCACACTCACAACCTAGCTAAATCCATATGACATCCCACTGGGCATTATCAGTAGAGACTATCAGAAAGTCTGTTGTAAGGATGCTCAGTGTTGATTTTATTCCAGATGGCTGCCCTGTTATGTTGTCACCAGGCGTGTGGCACAACCGTCTCTGTGGGGATACCTCCCGATTCTCAGAACCTCTCGATGAATCCTTTAATACTGTTGACTGGACGCACCTGGAAAGGAGGTGTTTTTGGAGGTATGTACTTACACGTAAAGGCCAAATTGTCATTAACCTCAGAATCTCTCCCTTTTTATAAGTGACAAGCCCAGGTTTCGAAAAGCAAAGCGGTCAAAAATTAATCAAAACTCCTGTTGAATCTTTATTCTCCAAATCAACTAGATGTGGAACTAGGGATGACAGACGGTCCCAAGACAGAATATCCTCGTGTCCCTTTAAACTAAGACCCCTTTTTATACTCGTGACCCCATAAGACACCAAAATTTCTAATAGGACAGAGACAATATAGAACACATGAACCTATAATTCATGTCTACACTCATCGCCCAAATTGAGACAATTGCTAAATTGCTCCTTGACTTTGGGCATAATCATCTGCACTAGAATTTCTCTATGAGACAGCTGATGACTAAAGACCCTTCTTTATCTGGCAAGATTTTTTTTTTTTTTTTGAGACAGAGTCTCGCTTGTTGCCCAGGCTAGAGTGAGTGCCGTGGGGTCAGCTTAGCTCACAGCAACCTCAAACTCCTGGGCTCAAGCAATCCTGCTGCCTCAGCCTCCCGAGTAGCTGGGACTACAGGCTTGCGCCACCATGCCCGGATAATTTTATATATATATTAGTTGGCCAGTTAATTTCTTTCTATTTATAGTAGAGACGGGGTCTCGCTCTTGTTCAGGCTGGTTTCGAACTCCTGACCTCGAGCAATCCACCCGCCTCAGCCTCCCAGAGTGCTAGGATTACAGGCGTGAGCCACCGCGCCCGGCTTATCTGGCAAGATTTTTAAAAAATCTTTTCTTAAAATCAAAGCACTGCAAAAGGACATCTATAAAAGCACTCTGTATTTCTATAACTTCAGTAATAGCAGTCTGAGGAATGTAGCACTTTTTATAAACTTCATCTTAATCTTATTTGGAAAGTCTTTTCTCCTATTCTCCTCCTCACCCCTGGCCGAATCTAACAATGATATTGTTTCTTTTCAGGCTATAAGAGTAAAGAATCTGTCCCCAAACTTGTGGCTGATTTTATGGCTAAGAAGTTTCCATTGGATCCATTAATAACCAATGTTATGCCTTTTGAAAAAATAAATGAAGGATTTGACCTGCTTCGCTCTGGAAAGAGGTAGGTTGTAAGTTGTTCGTTTTTGCTTTTTGCTTTTTGTGGTAGGGGGTTGGCTAGCAGAGAATGAAAAAGTAGAACGATGAGAGAAAATGGGAGTGCCTCGGGTTTCCGTTACCACCGCAGGCTTCCAGTGTAGAGCACCGAGACGCCACCGTGGGCGCTGAGAACAGTCGTGTTGCGCTTCCTGCTCTGTCGGAGCCAAATTATGTTGGTTACAGCAAAGGGCAGGATCAGAGCCACTCAGCCTTCTTTGCAAGAGACACTCACCTTTGCCAAAAAAAATACTTGGGTCACACAATCCTAATTACACTATGGAGTCACTGAAGCCTCTGCCTGGACCCCTGAATAAGGCTGACATTTAGGGACTGTAAATTTAAATTATATTCAGGACATGCCCAATACTTTCATATTGGGAGGAAATAGAACTATGTTGGGATTTTCTCTATTCAGACACTACTAGTTTTTCTTTTGTGTTTTTGCAACTTACAAGGAAATTTTTACAAATGAAAGTTATAAAGGGGAAGGGTGCAAAATGCTATTTTAAATGTTTGTCTTACTTTTCTCTAAAGCTTAGAAAAATAGCCAATTCTATTTCCTACTTCTAACATTTACCCTTTACATCCACCTAGCGAGATGAATTTCGTCACCTGCATTTAAACAAAGCACAACTAGTAATAGGCAGTTGTATCTAACCCCTGCCTTCTAGCCCCATAGTCCATGGCTTTTCTCCTACCCTACACTTTTTCTTATGAGGTTTTCAACTTCAAACACTATTTCCTGCGCACTCACATAAAATATTATACTAGACACTTCATCCGACAAATATTTTTGAGGAAGGAAAGAAACAAGCAACTTTTTCTTTCCTAGAGCACCAGCTATTCTACTAACTGTCTTATCTGTATTATCTTATGTGATTCCTAAACAATACTGATATGCCAGTTCCGATTTCACTATCTTAGGAGAAACCTGAGACTCAGAGAAGACACATCTAGGCCAAAACCATACAGGTAGTTGAGAGGGGAGTGAAATTCAAAGATCTGGTTGTTAGCAAATCAATTCACATACATATATGGAATACAGTAGTCATCAAAGGTTAGTTATCATCATCATCATCCTCCTCATCATCATTAGGTAGAAGGATGATGGCAAATACAGATGACCAAACCCGGAGAGCAGTTTTGAACAACAAAATAATTCACTAGGTGCATCTATATTTACATTATGAGAGTATCATACAATTCAATATGTGTGTTTAAATATAATGAATCCTACCAATAAGCAAAGATCAAAAATTGCAATGCTTGATATTGGTAAGGGTAAGGGGACATGGGCACCTACATGTGCTGCTTTAGGAATATTGTTACATCCTTTGGAAAGGAATTTGGTAATTTGTATCAGAAACATTGAGAAACCTTAGATCCTTTGTGCCAGCAATTTAATTTCTAGAAAAATATTCCACAGAGGTTATTAAATATTCAAACATATGTATGTGTTTAAGCATGTTTACCTGTTACCTATAACATAAAAGCCTAGAAACATCCTGAAAGTCCAACATTAAATGAATGATTAAATAAATTCCAATTATGTATTAGAAATCCATGAAGCCGTTAAAAGGAATGATTGCATTACATTGGGAGATTCTGGGTTTTTTTAATTTATTTTTTATTTTTTAGATTCTCTTGATGTCATCTTGGTTCAGAAAATAGAGAATACAAATCGTATATATAATATGCTCCCAATTTTTCAACAAGCACAGTAAAAAATGTACCTACATCTAGGTACATTTTTTTCTAAAGCATTTATCTTTCAGAAGATGGTTTATAGAAAGAGTATAATATGGAATGCCAAGTGTAAATGTTACATTTCTAACCTTTACAAGAATGAAGTCTCTTATAGTTAATACAAAATTACCTTTACTGCTACTTTTAAGAATCCTTAAACATCTCTGCATCAAAGCTCTATTAAATTTTCAGCATAGTTTTAACTTAAAATATCAGTTCCTTCAGGCTAGTGTCTTAGAATTTATACACTTTGTATTTATGCATTTTGGAATGCCAGCACACCATACTGGATGTACAACGTGCACCAAATTACAATTCCTCTAATTCTCAGTTTTTATAATCTCTCAAATGGAAATAATAGGAAAGCCTTCCTTATAGTCTTGTGGTTTAGACTGAGGTTTAAATGAGATAATGCATGAAAAGTATCCACAAAGTTTGTGACAAATCGGAAGAACTTTTTACATGTTATTACTCATTGTTGTTTTATATTCCTTCATTTGACAAGAATATGGGCACTCAAAAATGATTTTTTGAGGATGCTAATATAGAATTGACATCTAAATGACAGTCATGGCCAGGATATTATGAGCCAGCTTAAGATTAGAGAAAACACAAGAGAGAAGAACAACAACAAAAAGATGAACTGTGTTTTCATTTGATTTGACCCAAATAGTTAGGGGTGGGGATGCCATAGCTGGGAGCCCAGACAGGTTTTCACTAAGACACCTCAGATGCTCCCTGGACCCTCTCCAGGAAGAGTGTGAATGTCTCAGTGTTGACACACTGTCTTTTCTGTCCCATTGCAGCATCCGGACCGTCCTGACATTCTGAGACCACACAGATGCCTTCCGGAAGCAGCCTTCAGCCTCCTCCACCCGCACCCTCTGCAGCACCAACGGGGAAATGTCATTGATTCTGATCTTCAGAAATGTTAGCAATGAATCACACACGAGAGCTTCCCAAAGGAAACAGAAATTGATAGGAAATTATTTTTCAAGCAAATGTTTAAAATCCAAGTGAGAGCTAGATAAGATGTTGAATATCAGCTGAGGATTTGGGGCCAGTAAACTTTCCTTCTTAATCATTCTACTTATGTCGCCTTTCCCATTGAGGAAATAAATGTCTTCTGCCTTCTTGCATTTTTTGTGTCTTTTTAACCCACAGTCTTTGAAGCCCGGTGAAGGGCACCCTCCACTCACCCCGAACACACACGGCAGGCTACCGTGCTTGAGGTCTTCTACCTCCACCTCTATTTCCACTGCCTGTATTTTCTTTTTTTATAGAATGTGTCAAGACTCCAGGGCAAAAACTACAGTATGGCCAAAGATACATTCAGGTTTATAAATAGAGAAAATTTAGAACTTCTAACTCCAGAGAATTTCTTACAAATTCAAACAAAATGTCACACATTTTCATACAGTGAAGGGAAATAACTCTATCCTTTTCATGTTATTCGTTTACCATGAATATATAATTATTCTTTTAATAACAGGTTTCATGCTTCATGTGATTAATGTGAGGTTCAGATACTAGTTGGGAAAATTGAACTATTCCTTTAACCATGTTCAAAAATCTATAATTTTTACTTTTGGAAGTGCTTCATTGGCTAGATGGTCTTAGTTAATAATTGCAATCGACTGAAAATGAGTCATAAAGTAATTAAAAATCATATGGTGGCTTGAAGTATAGGGATAGGACAGCAGCAACTATGAGGACAGCATATAAAATGGTAACCAAGAAATGGCACCAACACCTAAAGCAGGATATTTTCTAAGTAGATATATGCCCATATGCAGAGGTACATTTTTATAAAAATTAACTTCAATCTAGAACTTTTGTCTTAAGTACTGGGTCTTAAATCAAACCTATGATCCTCAAGTAAGTTCAATATTTTGAATATGCAAAGACCTATAGTACCCATTTGCTAATGCTTTCCCACTCTCAGAGGAAGATTTGCATTTTGAGCTTTATCTCCAATGTGTAAGAAAAAGTTTACTCCCATTCAAGGAATTACAGCTTTCTCCAAAAGTGCTGCTTGTTGCTACATCTACAATCTCTTTAATATCACAGAAATTACTCTAGACAGATTGTAAAATAATGTACCATTTACTATGTGACCTTCAATACGTCCCTGAAACTCTCTGAGCTTATTCATCCTGTGTTCTGAAAAACATTAAGCTACCCCCACCCAGTACAGCCTTATCAAGTTTGGTGCTAAAGATGAGACCCACACAAGGAAGAAGTAGTTCCAAATGTCTACCTTACCACAGAGGTCATAAATTCCTACCAGTGGCCGAGAGGCCTGGATCCGGCTTCTACCCTCCTTCCTCCCAGTTTAGGGGAGTAGATGGAGAGGGATGTCAGGTGACACTTTCAGTGTTTTCACTGAAACTGGGTAGGTATATGGGGGGGAAATTTCTGCACCCATCCCTGGTTCTTAGTTATGCTGACATTGGTAGGGAGGGAGGCAGGTTGAAATCGAAATAGAAAAGTGGAACCACAGAGTGGCTTGTACCCCCACAGGCCTATAATGGTGCACGTGATCAGTGTGGCCTCCAGTAACTTTTGACTGGAATCAAAAGTTTACTTGATTCTAGAGCATCGAGAACTTCCATGTTTGCTACTCTCCCCCCAAAAGTGTAACTCTGTGAATGTACATAGCTCGCACACACTTTTAGCTATTAGCAAAAAGCTTAGTTGAAGTAACAAATGTTTTCATGCTTCACATTGATGGTTTAATTAATAACACTGATACACTGACTTAGCACCTCCAGAAATAGTATATAGCAAAAAGAAGTAACAAAGATGAACTCTGAATTGGCCCTATGCTACTTTGCGAATCACACAAGCAGCTCTAGGATTATAAAGAAGGTCATCTTGACAGAATTATTAGGTAGTTACTCAGAAGTTGAAGTAGAATGAGCACAGTATGTATTGGATAATTATGAACGTACCTGACTACTCAATTATGTTACCAAATGATTACTGTACAAATAACCTCTAATTAGGTATTCCCTGAAAGAAGTTAAAGTCAGTATTTTATTAAAGTACATTAAATTGTATTTGTCAATCAAATACCTAGCACTATTTAGGAACTGCCATTGCATAAGGAAATAATGAAAAATTGGTGGGGCAGTAATAAAAGTAAAACAGGAGCAATGGAGTTTGTGCCAAACACTAATTTGATGAGATGAATGCTTGGATACGTGAACTTGGTCTACTCATTCCATCACTTGGGTCTCAGAGTCCAGAAGACCATCAGCACTATCATAGTCACAAAGAGAATCTAGAGGTTCCTTAACATCTCACAGACAACACTAACCGGCAGAGATAAGTAGAGAGAGAGAAAGATCTGCTTTCCATGTCCAGGCTTGCTTTTTAAGTATTTGACATGTCAACAGATAACTCAGTAGCGTTATTTTCAATGAAAGCATGTGACAGAAATCAACAGATCATTCATATTTAAAGACTATTACTCACCCAGAAACCAACAATTTCCAGTGTTTGGGGATATACCTAATTGCCTTCAACAAATATAACTACAGTTTTGAAACAAAAAACTTTTTTAGTTCATTGTAAATTTAAATAATAAATATCACCATGTTGCAGGTGGGTGGGAGAAAGAAGTTGGGAAATAACTTCAAGATGAAGTATTTCTTTTGAACCTGAATTCAAGCCTCAAAAAGTAGGAAGTGAATCAAAACCTGAACTGAAGTAAATTCCTTCACTGATGGAAGGTATTCTAAGGCTTTAGGTTTTATCTTTCCCAAATCTTCAAATTATAATGAATAGAAAAAATTGTTTGAAGCACTCAATGAATATTTGATAACTTCTCCTCCTTCTGGGACATTTAAAGACAGAGGATATTCAAGACCTACAAAGAAGAGCTGATAGCCATCCTACAGAAATTATTCATAATATTAAGAATAAAAGAATCCTTCCTAACTCATTCTATAAAGCCAATATACCAAAGCCAGGAAACAACACAATAAAAGAAAACCATTGACAAATATTCTTTCTTAAAATACATGCAAAAATCCTCAATAAAATACTAGCAAACTGAATTAAACTGCACCTCAAAAAATTCATCCACCATGACTAAGTAGGCTTCATCCCAGGATACAAGAATGGTTCAACATATGTAAATCAATAAATGTAATTCACCACATAAACAGTAGCAAAAACAAAGACCATCACAAAGATCATCTCAATTGATGCAGAAAAAGCATTCACAAAATTCTGCACCCTTTCATCATAAAAACCCTCAATAAACTTGGCATAGAAGCAACATTTCTCAAAATTTATTATAAGAGTCATTTATGGCAAACCCACAGTGAACATCATACTGAATGGGGAAAAGCTGAAAGCATTCTCACTAAGAAATGGAATAGGACAAATATGCCCCCTGTCACCACTTCTATTCAACATAGTGCTAGAAGTCCTCACCAGAGGCATTACATTAACAGCATTCAAACTATATTATAAGGCTATAGCAACCAAAGCAGCATGATACTGGTACAAAAGCAAAGACATATGCCAATAAAACAGAACAGAGAACCCAGATATAAAACATCTACCTACAACCAACTGACCTTTGACAAAGGAGACAACAATACACACTGGGAAAAAGAAGTCCTATTTAATCCATGATACTTGGAAAACTGGATAACCACATGAAGAAGAATGAAACAGCACCCACTTATCTCTCCATATACAAAGATTAATTCAAGATGGATAAAAGACATAACAGTAGGGCATGAAACTGTAAAAATTCTAGAAGGAATCTTGTAATATGATGCCTCTTGATTTCTTCCATTTGCTTAAAATTGTTTTGGCTATCGGGGCTCTTTTCTGGTTCCACATAAAGCATAAAGTTATTTTTTCTAGATCTGTGAAATATGATGTTCATATTTTCATGGGGATTGCACTGAATCTGTATATCATTTTGGGTTGTATAGACATGTTAACAATGTTCATTCTACCAATCCATGAGCATATGTTTTGCCATTTGTTTGTATCATCTGGGATTTCTTTCCTTAGTGTTTAATAATTCTCTCTGTAGAGATCTTTAACCTCATAGGTTAAGTAAACTCCTAGGTATTTTTTTTTTTTTAGCAATTGTGAATGGTATAGAGTTTTATTTGATTCTCAACTTCATTGTTATTGTTGTATAGGAATACTACTGATTTGTGTACATTGATTTTGTAACCTGAAATTTTGCAGAATTCATTTATCAACTCCAGGAGTCTCTTGGTGGAATCTTTGCGATTTTCTAGATATAAGATCATATCATCCACAAAAAATGATAGTTTGGCTTCCTCTTTCCTGATTTGGATGCCCGTAATATTTTCTCTTGCCTGATTGCTCTAATTAAGACTTCCAGCACTATTTTGAATAGAAGTCATGACAGTGGACATCCTTGTCTCATTCCAGTTCTTAGTGGGAATGGTTTGAACTTTTTCTCATTCAGTTTGACGCTGGCTGTGGGTTTGCCCATATGGCTTTTATAATTTTGATATATATTTCATGAATGCCCAGTTTGTTGAGAGTTTTTACCATGAAAAGGTGCTGAATTTTGTCAAATGCTTTTTCTGCCTCTATTGAGATGATCACATAATTTTTGTTTCTGTTTCTATTTGTGTGGTGAATCATATTTATTGATGTACAGATGTTGAATCATCCTTGCATTTCTGGTCATGGTGGATTTTTTTTTCAGTGTGATGTTGAATTCAGCAGGCTAGTATTTATTGAGAATTTTTGCATCTATATTCATAAAGGGTATTGGTGTATAGTTTTCCTCTTTTGTTTGGCACAAAAATACAGCTATAGACCAACGGAACAGAACAGATAACCCAGGTAGAAAAGCATCCACTTTCAGCCACATGATCTTTGACAAAACAGACAACAATCTACACTGGGGAAAAGAATCCCTATCCAATAAACATTGCTGGGAAAATTGCATAGCCACATGCAGAAGAATGAAACAAGATCCATATTTCTTTTCCATTATAAAAATTAATTCAAGATGGATAAATGACTTAAATGTAAGGCATGAACCCATAAGAATTCTAGAAGTAAATGTTGGAAAATTCTTCTTGATATCAGCCTAGGCACAGAATTTGTGAAGAATACCCCAGTG